CATCACAGTGAGGTTTCCAGTTCCAGTTGGTACATTGTGCCACAGAGACTAAATCCAAAACATGTGTTCACAGACAGTATCTGAAGAACCTTCACAGGAGTGCTGCTGGATGGATAAATGGTTGTTTGTCAAGAAACCACAAATTAGCATTTAAAGTCGTAAACATATGAGACACAACATGGTAATTATTTTAAAGCATACAAGCAAGGATAGCCGTTTGCCCCCGCTTCCAGTCTCGTGTCACTTTTAGAAATAAATTATAAGTAATATGTATTTCCCAAACCTATTAAACTATTCAGTTAATTCTGGCACTGTCACAAGTTTGTGTGTTTCTTTGAGCCTCCTTATCTAACTGTGTGTGTGTGTGTGTGTGTGTGTATTTCCTCAGGACATGTATGGTATTGGTGAGGAGGTCTTCCTGTCTCTGCCCTGCGTGCTGAACAGCACCGGCGTGAGCAGCGTGGTCAACATGACCCTGACAGATGCCGAGGTGGCCCAGTTGAGGAAGAGCGCGGACACACTGTGGGGCATCCAGAAAGACCTCAAGGACATCTGAACACACCCGGACACATAAAACACAGCCGTGATCCAGAGAGGCAAACACTATCTACACGCACACACTTTTATAACATCCCTCTCTCCTAAACTGTATCGCTGTTGTTTAGAAAGGCAATACCAATATTTTTTTAAATGTACTAGTGAGAATTTCAGTTTTACATGCATCCAGTGTGATTTTACTGTTTTCATATAAGTGCTGCATTATGTCACCATCTACTTCCTGTCTAAAAAACACTGGTGTGCTCTTAAAAAATAAGCACATTTGCTCCCCAAACGCTAGTAGGCTGCTGTTGCTGTGTTACTGTTTAAGGAGATGTCAACTGACCTGTATTACTGTATTCTTTATGGATTATTGTGTTTTAGCTGATTGGACCAGGATCAAACACAACCCTCAAAAAGCGTCAAAAAAAGTGTCACTATCCTCCTTCACCACTTACTGTATTGAGTCGTTCATTTAGTTCCCTTTGGGTAATCACAAAGACCCTAAGACCGTGTACAGTAAACAGATAGTGAATTTGTGACAGGGCGAGTGTGAAGGTAGATTTTCCGTCCTCTCCTGTTTCCTCCATGTTAGCAAAGGGTGATGGAGCAGCAGTGGAAAGGTGGAAACATCTAGCTTTTAAACATCATCTGACCCTGTAAACTGTAACTTAATAAATTTGAACCTCATGAAGGGCTGTGTGTATGTGTTTTATTTTTCTAAAATTACTTAAATAGTGTCACCTTTTGTTAATGATGTGAAGAAATTCATAATTTGTTTGTGGAAAAGAAGCAGAATACTTCTTAAGAAAGAAGTAGCCTATTCAGTTTAGAGAAAGCTAACTGAGGATGGGATGTTTTAGATTTTTTCATTTTAACTGCACCTACAAGATTACATGGTTAATAAAACTCTGGATATTTGGTAATGATCATTATAAAAGAGGTGTTGGCTTCTGATCCCCAAACTTGAGACCTCTATAAATGAATGAATTATTTGATGTGTCTTTGTTGCTGTACACCTCCACAGTTTGTCCGGTTAGAACAATTAAGATGATGTTGGTAATCTTCCCAATCCAAGGACACTCTCACACTCCTTTTCTTGCAACTTGTTTATTGTAGAATGAAATGAGTATATGTTTATGTGTATGTGTGGGTGTGTGTGTTAACTGTGTGTGGTAACTGTAAAGAGAATAAACAAATGACATTTTAGACATCTGAAATAGTAATGAATAAAAGCAAGATAATATGAGATAAACAAGTGCGAATAATGACATATATGAGGACGAAATGAACAAAGATGGATAACTTCTGAAGAGAAAGCATGAACTAAATAAGGGAGCTTCCATATTTTTACACACATGGACTGAAAAGGCTCTGTTGCATAGGCTGACTAATGACACACAGACTAGGTAATTTCGTGACGGTCCCTTACTGACTGTCAGCGTGCGCAGTACTAATAAACGGGAGGGAATGTAAATGCTCCGTACTTGTATAGCGCCTTTCTAGTCTTTTCGACCACTCAAAGCGCTTTTACACTACATCTGCATTCACCAGTCACACACATTCATACACTGACCCTAAGTGCTCAAACGGAAACTAACATTCACACTCACTCATACACTGGCGGAATAGCCGCCAGGGGCAATTTGGGGTTCAGTATCTTGCCCAAGGACACTTCGACACGCAACCAGGGGGAGCCAGGGATTGAACCGCCGACCTTCCGATTAACGGCCAAAATTGAAATTGTGGTTTGTTCATAACAACCGCCATATTATGGTCAACTCCAAGAGCATAGCATATATAAAGAAAACTGGATTGAAAGGAGTATAATGTATTTGGAGTTCAGACTAATCATCACCAAAAAATCTGTGCAATAAAAACCGATCCAAAAGGTACAACAAACCTTTACTGAGAGGAAAATCTTTTTGGGAGTCCATCACTGATGCAATTAGTGGTTATCTCCTATTTTATTATTTCAATGACAGAAGAGAATCTATTTAATATATTTTAGAGTTGTGTGTATTGCCATCTGGAGCTGCTGTGCTGGCCCTAGGGATGTGCGGATCAATACTAAAGTATCAATGTTTCCTGCTCTAGGATCGTAACTCATATAGAAGGATTGATATCTAAACTCAGTAATGTGGAGTGCATTTGTGTTTTATCATAAGAATCTTACTGTCACCAGGATGGTCTAATTAGCTTCTTTGAAGTGAGCAGCTTTGATGTTTGTGCAAAGACTGAAATACTTTGGCAACACCGCAAACTTCTTAGATTTAGTCAAAATAATATGATGACGTTATGAAGCAGCAGTTCTGAGCAGGATATGTCATTATGCAGTTATTAGTTGGAATCTGTAAGCTACAGCCTACTTTTTATTTCCCTCATAAATACCAAAACGAGAGGGGGTGGTCACATTAAACTAGAAATAAAATATGTAAAAAGTATTGGTATTGGTATCAGCAACACCAGCCTGGGTATTACTTGGTATCATATAGGAATTAAATGGTATCGCACATCACTAGCTGGCTCTTGTCAACTGCATATTAGCTTCATGTTAGCTTAGCAGCAGCAACTGTAGCAACAGTTTGCTAACCCATAACTTAGCTAACGTTAGCTACATTACTTGCTGTGGGGTTGTTCGCTCTGTTGTGGTGTTGGATTAATATAAATGGCTATTGATATTAGGGGATTATTTAAACGTATAACGTTAAATAAATTCCTTAAAGGGCATTTGAAACTTTTCAGCGGCGACTAGTGTGGTTTTAAGAACCAGATATGTGCTTCATAAGCGTGCTCGCTTTAACTCATAAGCAAGCATAATCCAAAACACAACCGTTTTCATAGAGAAATCCTGCAATAAACACAGAATGCATGCAGACTGTGGCTTTTCTCTAGACATGTTCAGGTACTGTTTGTTCAATGTTCACTGCTCAGAGGTAGCTGAATATCTTTCATTCAGCACAGCGAGCAGCATATTGGCACAATACTACTAATCCACGCTCGATACCTATGCTCATTACATGATAATTACATCATGTACTTCGGTACATTTACTTCATTTAGCCGACATGCTACATTGTTAGCTCGCCTGCAGCTTTTCAGTAACTGTATTTACTATCTGTGCATCTTTTACCGGAGGCTCAGCAAGGTGAGCACAGCTAACAAACATGTATTGGATGATAATACGGTTCGTGAGCTAGACTGAATATTATAACGGGATTGTGTTACACTTTATAACAGTTAGACCACAGTAAGTAACTTCCGTTAGTGGATGGTTCTTCCTCTGTGTTGTCGCCGTTTTGCTGCAGTATTGTATATTATGTGGGTCATGTTAGTTACAGCGACGGAGAGGTGGAGAAGCCACGTACCGGAGCATCAGTAAAACCACAATAAATCTAAATGGAACATAACGAACGAAAACAAATCGCTCCACATTTGCTTTTTACCGTTACATCCTTTCTTGCAAGCTAACTCAACACTTTGACATAATACCGGTGGTACACAGGATAGTAACATGGGTCATGTTAGTTGGTGATGTAATGTGGAAATCGATACAACTTTACACCGGATAACGTTAGCAACTGCTCGGTGTTAGCTGTCGAGCTAACGTGACTCTCTCCATCACTCCAGCTTTTCTAATGTTCACTGTGAAATTACTCGACATCATCTGAATCTGTTTGGTCTGATGGGCTTTCACATAACACATAAACCTTTATTGTTGTTGTGGGGTGGTGATGATGCAGTTGATAAAACACATGCCTGTGGTGCGGGTGACCAGGGTTCAATTTCCACAGTGACACATCCACCAATGTGTCCCTCAGCATGACACTTAGTTGCTCCAGAGGTGTGCGGCCTCTGACGCATATTACAATTGTAAAGCACTTTGGATAAAAGCGTCAGCTAAATGACTAATATTTATTTATATGTATCCTTACGTGGAGTCTGTGTTTTGCTGTGAGCCGGTTGTTGTATGGTGTTAGTGGACTCCATGTCGTTAGCTGTGGTGTTGTCGCTGTAGTCTGACAGAACCTCTGGAGCGCTCACAGAGCTGAATCCAACCCGGAGACCTCACATTAAAAGCAGAATAGTGGCTGGTGCAAGCAACAGAGCAAACAGGCGTGTGCTTCATTTCTAAGTGAGATTTGAGCCCATTGACAATAAGGCAACGAAAATCTGATTTATTAATAAGTCATTTCATTGAAAAAATACATATAGCCCTTTTAAGAATATCCAAGAGTTGTTTGGCAAGCACCCCTGATTATTTATATTTTACATATTGTTTATTTTTACATTTTATATGTTCAATTATTGTTATATATTAGTTTTTATTTTTTGCACTTGTGCACACAATGATGCACCACATGCTGTATCTAGCTGCCTTATGTTGTCTGTAGTGTAATTTTAAAAGGCACTGCAGTGCCATCTAATGGTTGGATGAAAACACTTAGAAAATAAACAAACCATACACTTTAATTGTGAAATTACAGACATCTTTGCTGTCCTCAGAAAAGTCCAAATGGAGCATTTCATTTGGATTTCATAGATGACTTAGAGCAAACATGTTACAAAATGATATTGTCTGAGGCTTTCTGTTTCCCTTTCTAATTTTATTTTATTCTGAATTCCTTTCTTGTAGATCTTAAAAGAATGTCAAAGTAAAGGTAGATACAAAAGTGTTATTCACAAAAACATAACTTTATCTTAAGTTAAATTTAACACATAGTATGGAAGAGAGGAAGACAAATTGGTTTCATCTAGGCACCTCCAGTTCTCGTGGGAAGAGAGACAGGGGTGAAAACTTATTTGTCCTGGCTCTTTTAATGGCTCTTCTATAAATGTAGCCGTTGTAGCGTTTCCCAAAGCGAAGGCCGAACGGGTTGAAGTTGAATTTGCTCCTGCGGTCATTGCATAGAAGCTGCCGCTGGTCTTCATTCTCTCTCAGGGAGAAGCACAGGTTTGGATCCTCAGTCAAAAACTCTTCTGCAGTTCTTCTCCTGAGTGTGGAGAGGACTGATCCTGAGGAAAACAGCAGAAAATATTATAAAATAAAAATCATCAGTTTTAGATTTTAGTTGCACTTCTTTGTTATAAGGAATCTCATTAAGGTTGCTCACCTGTTGCATGTGTCCTCTGTGCAGTGTCAAATTCCGGTAAAGCTGCTTCTACACTCCCTCCGTGACCAACAATCAGCCCGCACACCACAACTAGAGTGGTGAGTCTCATGTTTGGACAGACGAAACAAATCCTCTTTCTGTGTCCAAACAGTGCAGATTAAAGTGTTGATGTTCCCCTACTCAGCAGGTACTAACATGCTCACTCCTAACAGACCGATTTTATATTTCCAGACCTCATGCTCCTGCAGCTCACAGCCAATCACAGCCCTCTGCGTCTCTGTGCAGTGCATTATAGAACATAGGCTACGTGGCTGTAGCTGCTGAAATGCATCATTCATCAGCTCTTCTGAGAAATGTTGACAGCTCAGTTTGTTGCTGTGATCATTCATCCACTATAAGATAATATGTTACTGCATGCTGAAAAATTGTGAAGTCATGAATATTTTTTAAATAAAGTAACAGAGAGACAGAAAAGGGGCAAAAACACCAGGACGCGTAATGGCACAGTCCAGGTTCCAGTTTGGCTGCAGTAATGCAAAGAGCACCAGCAGATGGGTGGACTGAGTTGTTATAGAAAACAGTTTTGTCAATTCTACTTTTTTCTGCTAAGACTTCCATGTGTAATACACCAATGTGTTGTCATGCAGGGAGGGAGACCCAAAGCACAAAGCATCACAGTGTTCATGGCTTTACAAACAGCATTTGGTGTGCTACTGCTTGACGTTGCACAGATACAGTCCCCTCCAAAACTATTGGAACATGTGACTGCCAGATGTTTCTTGTTGCCCAGGTGTTGCCTTTTAGGTTGATCAAACATTAAATAGCTCTGCGTGACTAGTCTAAGTTTTCATCCTTGGTTCAAACCTACAAAGACAGCATTTCCTGTTAAAGAGGATAAACCAACATGAAGACCAGAGAGCTGTCTGTGTGAGAAAAGCACGCGATTGTCAAGCTGAGAAAAGGAGGAAAATCGAGCAGAGCCATTAGACAAACATTGGGCAGAGCAAGCACAACAATTTGGAATGTCCTGAAAAAGAAAGAAACTACTGGTGTACTGAGCAACAGACGTCAAACAGGTCGGCCAAGGACAACAACAGTAGTTGATGACAGAAATATGGTGAGAGCTGTGAAGAAAACCCTAAAACATCAGTAAGTGACATCAGCAACGACCTCCACAGTGCAGGATGAAGGTATCACAATCCACTGTTGGAAGAAGACTCAGAGAGCAGAAATATAGAGGCCACACCACAAGATGCAAACCACTCATCAGCAGGAAGAAACGGAAGGCCAGATTGAAATTTGCAAAGAAGTACAGAGATGAGCTGCAAAAGTTATGGAACACAATCTTATGGACTGATGAGACCAAGATTAATCTCTAGCAAAGTGATGGAAAGGCCAAAGTGTGGAGAAAGAAAGGAACTGCTTCTGATCCGAAGCATCCAAGCTCATCTGTGAAGCATGGTGGAGGTAATGTCATGGCTTGGGCGTGCATGGCTGCTTCTGGAACAGGCTCATTAATATTTATTGATGATGCAACTGATGATGGTAGCAGCAGAATGAATTCAGAAGTGGACAGAAACTTTTTGTCTGCCAATTTACGGAGAAATGCATTGAAACTAATGGGGAGGAAGTTTATCATGCAGCAGGACAATGACCCAAAGCACACTGCCAACAAAACAAAGGACTTCATCAGGGGAAAAAGTAGAAGGTTTTTGCCTGGCCTAGTCAGTCAGCTGACCTTAACCCAACAGAGCTGCATTTCACCTCCTTAAGAGGAGACTGAAGGGAGAAACACACCGAAACAAACAAGAACTGAAAGAAGCTGCGGTAAAAGCCTGGAATAGCATCACAAATGAAGAATGCAACAGTTTGGTGATGTCGATGGGTCGCAGGCTTGAGGCAGTTATTGCAAGCAAGGGTTATGCCACCAAATATTAATGTTATTATTATTATTATTATTAATTATTATGTTATTTACTTTAAGATTATTTGTTCTAATAGTTTTGTTCACCTAAGAATGCTGTGGTCTAATACAAACGTATTGTCGTAACGTAATGTCCTGAGTTGTTTAACACATGTAGATGTGAATACCAGGAAATGATAGCTGAAATTCTGAACTCTGGTCTCATACCCAAATGTCTTCAGTGAACAACAAAAACATACAGTAGTGTATTTGAAATTTGGACACGATCTGAAGGGGCAGTCATAAATAAAAGGAACATTACAACAATGGGTAACGCTTTAGACTTTTTAAAAACCTTTTTTTTTTACCCATTTTTCTTTGTATACATATATTTTTGGGCGTTTTCAATTCAATTCAATTCAATTTTATTTATATAGCGCCAAATCACAAGGAAAATACAAAAAAATCGTAAGATAACTTAGAGGAAATCCTCCAAATGCATTCACTTCTAATTCTGATCTGTTTTATTCCATTAAAATCTATTCAATATGGTGCATGCTGGCAGCCATAGGGTTTCAAGACATTGATCATGTGAGTTCATCATCCTTGGTTCAAAACTGTTGTTGTGATTTGGCGCTATATAAATAAAATTGAATTGATGTGTGACTGATCTACCATTTCTATTGCATTTAGTGTCACATTTTGGAATAGTTAGCCTATTACTTTGCAATGTACAGATCTAAATATGTTGCAGAAATGTAGTCATGTTCCATTTGTAAAATTAAGTTCTGTTACTTTGCGGTTAACAACATGCCCACCAGAGGGCAGTGTCAGTTCTGTTCTCATGTGAAATAGCCAACTATTTACCAGCAGTCTGTGCAAAATGCGAGAGCTTATAGACTTGATGTAAGCACTTGTGGAACAATAAATTGTACATGTATTAAAATAAAAATATCACAAAATAAAAACTCACAAAAGCTTGTAGAAAGAATCTGAACTTAACATTTTCACTCAGAAAAGATTCACACAAATGTGTTCATTGATTAGTTATGCTGCTGTAGACCTAGACTTCCCATGATGCGCTGAGCTCATCTCTCCTCCTCTCTCTCTCCATCTGTATGCATTCTTAACCCATTATTGCATCTTACTAACCCGACTTCTTACTCTCCCATAGTCTTGTGCTTTCTCGTCCCTCTCCTCTCTCCTCGTATCACTTTCTGCAGGTATTTCTGGCTCTGGAGCCTGCTGCTACCATGTCCCTGCTCGACACCCTTTGTTATTGTTACTAGTCCTATTCTTCTTCTTATTATTATTATTAATATTATTATTCAGTACAATTATTCATTTTCAGTCTGTACCTCTACTACCTTTACTGTCTGTATTTCTGTGTGGATGTTGTCTTGGGAGCTCCCCCCCACCACTCATCCCTCTCTCTTGCTCTCTTTCTCTCCCTCCCTCACCCCCAACTGGTCAAGGCAGATGGCTGCCCCCCGACCCATAATTCTGCTTGATGTTTTTGCCTTGCCTGTCTTGCCAGGTGCTTGGAAGTGTTGGAATTGGGTCTCTGTAAATAATATTACAAAGAGTACGGTCTGGAATTGCTCTTTATGAAAAGTGCAATGAGATAATAATGTATAAATAAAATTGAATTGAAAATGTGCTCTGTCTCTGCACTCGCTTGGTCTCTGTTCTGCTATCAACTCTGCCTCTGTGTTTGCTTAACTTGGCACAGCCACAAAATCACCCAATCACAGACTTGGTGAAAGTAACCTTGTTTGGCTGTTGTATCCAGACAGGCTGCTAGCTCTTTTTTCTCATACGAAGGCAAAATCAGCTGTTCTCCTTCAACAAAACGTGCATCCAGACTGAAATTCAACAGTGGCATTGTGTTGGGAGATGATGTGTAGTTTCTGCAGGGTGTGTTAATGACTTCTAGTATAGCTGTGATTCCCGGAGCTGCAGCTGGCAGGCTTCCAACTCTTCAGAGTGGCAACAGAGCTCTCCAGCAAAACAAAAGGTGGAGGTGTCTGTGTCTGGAGCTCAACACTCTGAAGACAGTGGAGATGATCGTGGATTTTAGAAAGACCACAGCCCCACCCTCTCCCATCATCCTGTGTGACTCCCATTTCACCACTGTGGAAAGATTGCAGCTGACTCCTCCCACCCTGGACACAAACTGTTTCAGACTCTACCCTCTGGCAGGAGGCTGTAGTCCATCAGGACCAAAACCTCTTGCCTGCAGCTTCTTCCCATCTGCAGCTAGCCCCTTTAACAAGACCAGGTCCCCCACTGACACTCCCCCCTTTTAAAAATAGTACAACTGTCTCTGCACATGCTCAAACCTGGCACACTGCACATATTCGTGTTAATTGTAACTCTTTGTTGTTGCAATTTATATTTATGAACACAATACTCTCTTCCATTGCAACACGTCTTTTCTCTGCAAATAGTTGTATTATCTTTCTCTATTCTTTTATTATTCTGTATGTATTGTAATATTGACTGTATGTTTTTCTACCTGTAGCACCTTATCACCACAGCAAATTCCTTGTATGTGTAAAACACTACTTGACAAAAAAGCTTTTTCTGATTCTGATTCTGAACCAGTATTGACAAGTTATTTGTGTCATTTGAAAGTTTATGTTTGCTGGGTATCCTTTAGATAGAGATATCCTGTATTTCTCTGCTTTTCCAGACCATATTTGGAGGATTCTGTGCCCTGAATATTCACTATTAACATTTACAAGGAAATCAATAACTCTGGTCTCCTTGCTAATGTGTACTGACTCACCAGAGTGAATCCTGCTGTTGCAACCCAGCAGAATAGACAGATCGTGGGGGGGCTAATTGTCATAATATTAAATTCAATTTTATTTATATAGCGCTACGGCTGGACAATAAAACAATAACAATAATTATTGCAATATAATTGTTTTCAATAACAATATAACTTTGACTTTATTCACTTGAATCATACACAAATTAGGACTTATTTTTTTATTAAGAAGTTTATTTTGTGGAGGAATAATTACTGAAAAAAGCTTTTACTTGATTTTACTTGCATATTTGTTGAAAAAGAGTTTTGAATGTTCTACCTTAGATTTGTGAAGTGATCCACTGTTTGGCATCAAGTGTTGACCATTAAGAAAAGTTAAGACCACAATTAACCATCAGGTTTTTTCAACTTTTACTCAGGAGCAGAAATCAGCCTTTAAACTTGAAAGAAATAATGATTTCATACTTTTCGTGATAATAATTGATATCAAAAGATATGAAACTGTTTATCGTGATAACATTTTTGGCCATATCGTCCTATATAGCGCCAAGTCATAACAACAGATATCTCATAGCGCTTTTCATAAAAGAGCAGGTCTAGACCATTATTATTACAGAAACCCAACAATTCCCACCAAGAGCAAGCACTATGCACTAAACCTTCAATTTCAATTCACTTTCAATTTTATTTATATAGCGCCAAATCACAACAACAGTTATCTCACAGCGCTTTTCATAAAAGAGCAGCCTAAACAATATAGCCTACATACAGAGGTACAGACAGTAAAGGTAATGTTGGTACAGACTGAATCAGGGATGTGATTTTTCCGGATTAATTCTGGATTCCGGATTTTCTGACCTGAAA